ACAAGCCCTCACCTCGATGGGCATGGCACACACACAATTCATGCATGGTACAAGCCCTCACCTCAATAGGCATGGCACACACACAGTTCATGCATGGTACAAGCCCTCACCTCGATGGTCATGGCACACACACAGTTCCCAGCCTGGTACAACCCCTCACCTCAATGGGCATGGCACACACACAGTTCATGCATGGTACAAGCCCTCACCTCAATGGTCATGGCACACACACAATTCATGCATGGCACAAGCCCTCACCTCGATGGGCATGGCGCTCTTGGCCAGCATCCTCTCGGTGTCCAGGATTTTGATGGAGGCGTCGGCCGAGCCCGTGGCTATCAGCTGCCCGTCCCTGCTGTAGGTGGCCACTCTGCAGGGTCCCTTGTGGGATGTCACATAGCAGGTCTCGTACTCAGAGGCCTCGGGGGACATGGTCTGCACGTCAGCATCGAACTCCAGGTCGATGCCGGTGCCCGGCGCCACGGTGTCCGAGCGGCCGATGGCGTACTGCACGGCACTGTCATCGTTCTCCATGCCTGGGGACAGCAGGGGGGCACTCAGCACTGCCAGCCTGCCCTCAGAGCCTGCCACGCTCCTGGGAACGCCTGGCAAAGGCAGCCCTGGGGGGAGAGCTGAGCTGGCAGAGCAGGTTGGGTCCCACAGCTCTGGGCAGGAGTGAGGGACAGCTGGGCTGGAGCTGGCACAGCTCCGCAGGAGCTCTGGGAGTGCCCCAGTGAGGACTGGGAAGGGCTCATCAGTGCTCTGGGAATACCCCAGTGATGATTGGGAAAGGCTGATCAAGGCTCTGGAATTCCCCCAGTGAGGACTGGGAATGATCAATGCTCTGGGAATACCCCAGTGAGGATTGGGAAAGGCTGATCAATGCTCTGGAATTCTCCCAGTGAGGACTGGGAATGATCAATGCTCTGGGAATACCCCAGTGAGGATTGGGAAAGGCTGATCAATGCTCTGGAATTCCCCCAGTGAGGACTGGGAATGATCAATGCTCTGGGAATACCCCAGTGAGGATTGGGAAGTGCTGATAAAAGCTCTGGGAATTTATCAGATTGGGAAGTGCTGATAAATGCACTGACAATCAGTCACAGGCCTCTGGTCACACAGGAGCAACAAGCCCCAACACTAATTACATGAGTTTTAAGGTATAAAACCCAAAGCATTTACTGATTCTTCTCCTATTTTATTGCTCTGAAGCCAAACTATCCCTGCACTGCAAGGGAAAAGCTTGCTGGTCTCCAAGCCCACTTCCCAGACTTTTATCTTTATTTCCAAGATGCAGCTACAGACCAGAGTTCAGCACTGGCAGTGGTAACAGGGCAGACACAAGAGCTTTCAGCCCAGTGGTGATCTTTTTGCTGCTTTCATGTCTAGAATTTGCATTTCAAACAGACACAAAGCTTCACAGATTTATACCCTCAGAACTCAGCTAGGCCAGGCAGCAGAACCAGTTGAGTTACACACGGTGTCATGGCCAGAGCTCTTCCAGGACCTGGCCAGCTTCTTCCAACAGCAGCTCAGGGGTTTCCCTGTTCTCCCCACACTGTGGCACTTCCAGAGGAAGCACAGGGAGAGAACAGCCCTGCTGAGACCCCAGAGAGTGCAGCTGTCTCCTGGGGACTGATCTATAAAAGCCAGCACAGATTGCCAATGGAAGGACTTGCTCCCTCTCCAACACTGTCAGGAACAGCCAGATTGGAATTATTTCTTTCTGAAGTCAGCAGAACTGTGAGGGTGAGATTTTCCCTCAGATCTGGGGGCTCAGTGACCCCATTCACTGGGGTGTTTTGAGAAGACACCCAGAATCCTGAGTGTCCTTAGAGGAGTCCAAACAGATTTGGGCAGCACTCAGGGATCTGGTTTGTTGGTAATGAAAAAGGAATGCCCTTCAAACCCCACAGAGGCAAAGGCTGTACCCAGAAGTACAAGTGCTGTGCTATTACCAGACACCACCTTTGCATCAAAGGTGTCTTTGCAGTGACACCAACCTCTTAATGCATTGGGGAATTAGAAACTAGACTTTTATGTCAGCTTTTGATTCCAGCTTACCTAACTTAATTAGGTGCAGCAGTTGTTCAGAGGGTGCACACACAGACTGTGGTTTGATCTCATTTATCAAGCCATTGGCAATGTTGATGTATCCATCATAGAGCAGCTGGCTAATTATCAATTTGTAAAGTTGCTGGCGGTCTTTCAAACTGACTTTTGTCCTATACATTGTGAGCAGGGACTGCCTTGGGGGGGCCTGGAATGAAGAACAGAAATCACATACAAGAGAGTTGCATGAAACCACCAGAACCTTGGAACAAACCTCAGGGCAGGCACTAAATATTGCTGTGGTTTTGGTGGAGAGCAGAGATGGAGAAAGAAAAGCAAGGGGAAAGAGGAGGGAAAAGGGAGAGAAAGAAGAGGAAAGGGTGAAGAAATGGTGCGAGAAAGGGAAGGAAAAGGGAGAAGGAGGAGGAAGAGGCAGGAGAAAAGCGGGGAAAAGAACAGGAAAAGAACAGAGACAGGGGAGGAAGACAGAGGAGAACGGGGAGGAAGAGAGGGAAGAGGAAAAAGAGAGGGGAGAAAAAGGAGGAAAACGATAGGAAAAAGGGGATGTAAGAGGGAGGAAAAGAGGGGGGAAAAGGAAGGAAAAACCTGTTGCGTTTGTTCTCTGTGTCAATGCAAACCTGGCCCACACAGCGAGGCGGGCCGTGCTGAGCGGAGCAGAG